ATTCCGTTTGCTGGCAAACAATGAATTAATTCATTTTCATAACCCAACAATTTTAAACTTAGAAACTTTGGTATCTAAAGTTTCAGTAATCGAATGTCGCATCCTCCTGCAATTCGAAGTGTTCGATGCAATAAGGTGATTAGCCATTTGACGATAGTTATAGACCACTCCAATAAAAAAGCGAAACAGAAGTTTTTGGCTATACCAGCTGCTCCATCAATGTAGACAACGAGCTTTGTACAAAGGCCATCGAATAATGTACATATTTGGTTATGTCCATTAAAAGCGCCCACATTTCTCGAACAATGACTTTTGGACCTTAAAACGATGATTGATATATTCATAGAATTCTGTTATAGAATCTAGTGTGCAGTTCTACTTGTTTCTCTGCATACAGGCACAAGAGAGAAATCCTGAGACACAAGTTGAACAGCTTTCACTACTACTTATCCATGTTAATTTTCCTTTTACTGAAAGCCTAATCATTACCTGTTTCGATTGTCTGTACATTTCCCAAATGTAGTCGACAAATGAGTGATGCATGAAGAATATTGGATCATTGGCTGACGTTTGTGTATCGAACATATCACCACCAATGTAAATGTGAGGATTTCCGTGAGTATATTCAAGAACGTTGTAGTTTGGCGTGTAAGGGCATCCCTTAATAGAAAACATCAGGATGTTGCATATTACAACAGTTTCTCTTCTTGTAACAATCTCGTTCTTGAGCTATTTGTCCAGATTGTAAAGTTCAACTCCAAACCTGCTTGGGTGCTGAAAAAGCGAGTACTTGAGCAATGTCCGTCTGATTCAGAACAAATCGTATCTCATCTTCTGAAAAGCACTTTCCTCTAGCTCCCACTTCACGGCGGATGTTGGGACGAGTCTGAAATCAAGCTAACAACAGTTACCAATAACTCTGACCGGACCAAAAATTTCAAAATCTTGGATTTCACTGAGGCTTCACCCAAGGGATATTTGACATTCCGATCACGAATATCATATTCCTGTCACGCAATACGCTTGTACTGTAGGGTTATGATAGTTCAAAAAGATGATAATGGATCCAAATCATGAAATTGCCAGAAACTTCACTCAAAGGTTTTATTTGATATGTTGATCACGAAATCGTACTCAATTCGTATTATCGCTCCTTATTATAGATTAATAAAGAGTTTTTGCTAGGCCAACATTCCCATTTTTGCCTAAATCTCAATTGAAGCAATTTTATGGTTTTAACTCACTACCCCACACCTAGGAG